CTTTTTATTCATAGACCTTTTTGAACGATGCAATGATTTGTGTAGAATTTATACATGCAATAAATTTGTATGTGAATCGTTTATTTGACGCGACACACATAATTTACGGAAAGTTTACGGCAACACTACTATAGCCATATGTTGGCTTCTCTCACGACGCTTTGAGGTATCCATCTTAGGGTTAAGCCCGTTAGTAAGGAGATCTCGCTCGTGAGACCCAAATGCGAGACTGGACCGGAGTCGTCCGTTCGGTCACCAGCGCGACAGGTTGAGGTGTGCCCGAGTGTAGTGTTCCAACACACGCGGGCACGCACGGTATACACAGGCACACGTGCGCGTACACACATAAAAACCTACGGCTGACTGGTGTGGTAAGAGAAAGACGCGGTTAGCCAGTGGTGATTCCATTCACTGATTGAAATCTCCGTCCATTTGTCACTGTCAAGGAGGTGGCGATAGCCTCTTTCTCCCTATTTCTCTATCTGTCTCTCTCTTTCTCTTTCTCTACTCAATCGTTGCCTCTATCACCATGGACTACCCACACGCTACTCAATGTGTGTCCGATACCATTATTATTTCAACTCGAGTCGCTCAGCTTAACGACCAATCGACACGCCGGATATTAATTTCTTATCGATTGTTCCTGTAGTGTCTTGGTAGTGCGCGAGTTTGGCGCAACACCAGTTCGACCGGCGCGCCTTTCGCGTCGTTCGCGCAAGCGAGAATCGTTGTATCGATTTTTGTGCCGATAAGCCGGTCATGTACCGTTGCTTCGGACAACTTACCTTCTTTCCCCCTTCCACCCGTCCCCTTCTCCGTTACCCATCTCATCGGCGCTTCTTTCTTTTACAGTCGAAAGTAAATTACGAACATCGCTCGACGTGATATTAACGCGGCCATAATATTATAGACTGAAGAAGAATTTTAACTTTATTTTTCTGCAGAAAATTTTCGACATACACGAACGAGAAATGACATAGCAAAAGGAATGGACGAGCGATAAAATAATACAATACTGTCACTTACTTTGGGAAAGACGATTATCGTTTTCCGGATCTTGGTACGGGTTCTTAAACTGGCGAGACGAAGCCACTACCCATCGATTGCGAACTGGAACAAAACATGCATTTTCTTAATCATTTTTTATAATTTTTTATTATTATGAGATTCTTTTTTGTTACATGCCGAATAAAGATTCATATGTTTTTTAAGTAAAACAATTTAGTAACACCAGTCAACATTAAAAAGTCGACAAAATTTAACGTCAGACCGTTATTCCACTCACCCTTTGTAAAATGGTTTAAATGCGGTGGTAGCTTCCGTGGGTGGCAAACTGGCAGTGGTTTGATGCTGGTGAAGAATAGAATTCTGGCCAACTGACGAGAAATCCTTATGCGGTGAGCTCTGTAGACGAGAATTAAAGGACGAGGCGCTGCTAGTCGATCCTGAACTCGTCGACAGATAACCGCCGCTACTGGGATGATTCGCGCCGTAGGGGATATTAGGATTGCCATTAGTTGCGGCACTAGCGGTGTTGCCACCAGGACAGTAACCGCCCGGTGGTGCTTGGATCACTCCGTTCGGCGTGGCCACCTTCATATTGGGCGGTGTCTGGGGTGGAGTGTCCGTGCCAACCTCTGGAAACCCCGCCGCCGCCGCCGCTGAGGAGGACGCACTCGAGCTCGAGCCCGACGACGAGTTAGGATTGTAATGGAGTTGGCCACCGGACGAGGACGAAAGGAAGCCGCCGTATCTCGCGGTAGCACCCGAGTAAGGTGCTGTCGCTGCTGCCGACGGGCTCATCCCCGCCGAGGAGGGTAGAGCGAACGAACTTCCCAAGTTTCCTCCACCTCCGCCACCACCACCGCCACCGGCGCCACCTCCCGCACCTCCTGGACCGAGCCACGGTTGTTGCGAATGATGATGATGTCCTTGATTGGGCACGTGATGTTGCTGTTGTTGAGGATAATGTTGCTGATGATGTAAATGGTGATACTGCTGATGGTGGGGATGCGACGGTGGTGGCGGCGTTTTACACGCCGCCGTGTCCGCTAGGGACCAAATTTTGGGTTTCGTTGCAGGGATCGGTACACCACCCCCACTACAGTCTGATTTGATACCCTCTTCTTTCAGATGATCCTCACTGCCATAACCTTGATGATGATGATGGTGATGCTGCATCGTGTGATGAAAGGGATGCTCGCTCCGTCGGCGGTCGTCCTCAAGTTCTAACTCGTCTTCATCGTCGAGATCCTTCTCATGCTGTAAAAGCTCCGCTTTCACATGCCTCATTGGTTCTGAAAACAATCGAGGAAATTTATGACTTATTGAAAAACTTGTAAATTGTTAAAATAGATAAAAGATATTGTGCATGAAATTGCCTAGCGTTCGCTAAAGATGATCCGTAAAAGTGGATATACACGAGAAAAATATAGACATTAATGGTTTATAATATTTGATACGCAAAAGTGAGACGTAGAACGCGAGTCATCGTAACGGGATTCCATCGTCATGGAGGGTCGTCGAGCGACGGGAAAGTGCGGATATTTTCCTTACGCCCCTATACAGTTAAGCTGTAAGAGATGCTGTGAAAAAAGGGAGCGAAGCCTTCAACCACTTTGGGGCGCGAGAGATTTCAGTTTCCCTTCGGGGCAATGAGTGGGGAGGATGCGCGAGTGAGTGGATAAGCGAGAGATAGAAAGAGAGAGAATGAACCGTATCCATCTCCTTTTTCTCCGATCTCCCTGTCTCGTCGTCTCTCGGGGCACTCCATGGATCGTCCCGACCGTCTGCCAGCCAGCCAGGCAGCCACTGAGCCAAGCCAGGCAGTCAGTCAGGGGTGAGAATTTCATTAAGAGGTTCGAATGTGTCGGCAGAGGGTTTACTTGATGGGTCGTCAAGCGATAATTCCCAAGCACGAAGGGCGTGCTACACTCTTGAGCGTAAGAGAGACGTAGACAGAAATGAAGAGAGAGAGAGAGAGAGAGAGAGAGAGAGAGAGAGAGAGAGAGAGAGAGGTGAGAAAAAGAGAGTTTCGGTTTAGGGCGCACGCACCCCCTTATAAAGGGAACTTCTCTCTTATGGGCCAACTAAATAGATACTACCGTCGAGTCCACAAGTGGCTCTTTAACTTTTGACCCTCTTTTATCAGACGTTAATCTCGTAATCTTCATACCGTGTGGGTGGATTCTATGTTCAAATTGAATAACTAAATTGTATTGGGCTTGACTTTACCCGGTCAGAGCGTTACTCGCGCGCAAATTACAAGCATACAATAATTTTTCTATTCTAATGTTACATTTCGGTGATTTACAAGACAGACCAAACTTGCCCGTGTAACTTATGTAACAATAGTCGGGTTCCAAAAGCCTGAGAGTTTGAATACATATTCTACTTGAATACGAATATTTCAACCCTCGCCGCATAGATGGCTGACAGTTTGTGTGACCTATCTTCCTCAGCGGCTCGGCGTAGAAATTCATGAGCGCGCCAAAAGCTCCCCTTTGAATTTCTAAAGGTCACCGGCACAGAGCGAGTGAAGACATGTACGTGTATATCCGTTCGCATACCGAAGTGTCGATACATGTTCTCGCTATTTATATAGGAAGAAGAGAACCACGAAAATTTTAGACGTAAGAAACGCCAACGTCTGTGCTTTCACGCGACCTCACACGGAAGAACCGGTGCGACGAATCAATTTCTCATCGGTTCTCGTCAGCCTTTCTCAGTGTATCGTCGGAGTGCTCTCCTCCGCTCGCGCCGGTCCTTTGAAATTACGAGCTATTGCAGGACGCGTGACGTAGCAGGATCTAGGTGTCCTGAATCAGAGGAGAGATCGAGACGACGAGAGCATACGACAGGATGAAGGAGAAGGAGAGCACGCGCGCGCGCGCGCGAGAGAGAGAGAGAGAGAGAGAGAGCCGATATTGGCCAATGTGCGGTGGGGTAATGGTGGCCATAGGAGGGTCCGTACCATTCGTCTCGCCGCGGGCGCCGATACATCACCGTACCTCGAACCAGCGTTCTCTCATGTGTATCTATATACATTCACAATATATATACATGTATGTACATATATATACATATGTGTATGTACATATATATACATACATACATATACATATGTACATATATATATGGACTTCGTGGCACGGAGTGGATATGGTTCTACGGATGGCTACTCAGACCGGGCGCACCCTCTCCCTCTTGCACGAGCACACGCATACAATTACGTGCTTCTCTCACAGATCTGTGCTTCTCGCGCATCGTACATACACCTACACGCTCACGGCAAGCTCACGGGCAAGCAGCCCGGTCCAGCACGGGGTGTCCAATACCAATACCGGTACGGCGCGGCGTCGGCCCGATTCACCGGGGGACCGAACCGAGAGCCATTAATCTCTTCGCGCGGCAACCCGCAACCCGTCACTGTGTTTACCCACATGTGAACCATTATGTCCGCCCCCGCGATGTAGAACCCACTCCGTACCGCGCACTCCGTTTCGCCGCAAATTCCTAACTGGCCGTTTCCGGTCGCTGTGCGAAGAAATTCGTCTCGACGAGCGAATTGTTCTCGGGATGCAAATATTTTTGATAATTGAATCATTATTTGGAAAACGAATCGTAGTATTCGGGCCTCTGACTAAACGCGTGTGACGTGCTTGCGGTGAATAGAATGCTGAAACGAACGAATTTTACAGCTATGTATTTCAGAATCGTTAGCCGTAAAAATTTACGGTTGATGGGCAACCCACAGAAGCTCTCGAGGAACGACAGGTACGCGAGCGACAAGATTAAAAGCCCTATCATCGATCTTTCGGTCGAAGCATGGAGCGGAGATATATATTTGCAAGAGATATCTAAAAACGGTACATGAATTCCATCAAAAAGATTCAGGCAATCTTTAGAAACAACTGCTGACCGTCCGGAGTTAAGTCGTAAGTCCGATTCATTGTGAACGAAATACATACTTGCGCAATACGAGAAACGCCAGCTGATGGGTATTCGATATCAGGGAAACTAGTCACGCGAAGGAAACACGCCATCGACATTCCGAAGTCAAAGAGATCGGCTCGCCTTGCACGCGTTGGACCTACCGTCAAGAAACAATTCTAACTCTAGTTGACTGATACTTCTCGCAATATTGATAATCAAACGTTTCTAACGATAGAAATTCTCTGATACCACCAACGACGAGTTATCGCGAATATTATTCTGCGCCGCAGCAATTTCTGTCTTTCTCAGACTGTTTCTCGAAGCAGACGTTGCCGGCTAGCCGTTTTGAATATTATTATTATTACTCTCCCGGCATTCTTTTTTGCAGTGACGTTAGCAGACACGCCCCTCGTTTCATTTCGTTTCATAGTTTGTAGACTTGTTAGCGGCGTAAACTAAGATTTTGCGTGTTAACTTCAGCACGCCCCGCGACTACGAGCAATTTTCTAAATCGCTCTCGCAGATAGCAACGTGAAAACGTGACGGCTCATATCTGCAGGCAGCGTTTTACTGAATAATGAATTCTGACTCGCTGTCGGGCAACGGATATCATGCGTGGAAAGGAAAAAAGGCTTACCGGTATCGTCGAGGCCCCGCCTCGCATCTTCACCGACTCGGTCGCCTCTGTTATCCGACGCGAGATCGTCCTTTTCCTTATTATCTTCGGAATCGGTGAGCACCGCATCGTCATCGTCGTCCGTCTTGTTCTTCGGTTCCCAGGTCATCTTGTTTTCCTTTTTGAGGCGTCTCCGCGCGTTCGCGAACCAAGTGGAGACTTGCGTCAGCGTCATTTTTGTGATGATAGCCAGCATAATCTTCTCGCCTTTCGTCGGATACGGGTTCTTCTTGTGTTCGTTCAGCCAAGCCTTCAAGGTTGCCGTCGACTCCCTCGTGGCATTCTTCCGCCGCGCTGCCAGGTCGTACCCAGCGCCGTACCTGAAAAAGACAACGAAAAAGATAGCTTACAATGAGACGTCTCCTGAAATTCTTTAAAAATTGCATTACGCTCGAGTAAGCAGCGGCTTGTAAACAGGAAGTGCAATATGAGAAAAATCGAGATGCAAAGAACTCAGTAAACCGTAGATAATATTTGCACACGAATCTCTTAGTTCCTATTACCAGTTACTAATTAATCGATATGTATAATATACATTTTTTTATATATATAGAGGTCGATTATAATCTAGGACATACACGGAAAAAACAGTTTTATTATCTAAAAATGTAACCAGATACGGATCTGAAAATTTTATTGGATTATCGAAAAATATATATAGGACACTTAAACTGGTTGCTACAATATTATAACTTTTGCAGCATCGTTTATCACGCTCGAGTTTCTACATAATTATTTTAATTGTCTAATACAAAATTATTTTTAGCTCTGTATCTACCTAAATTTTTAAATACTTCAGCAAAATCGTTTTTTCCGTGTATTTATTTCTTGTGAAAAAATTTAGAAATTACAATCAAATTACTAGTTGTATCTGGCCAATAAACGTCAAATGCATTATTAACGATTGAGTAATCGCCGTTAAGCAACACTCTCCGTTTGCTTGCCAAAAGGTAACTATTGTTCCATATTTGTCGAAACAGGCCACTCCACTGGTGAAGTGGTATCGTGTCGAGGGTGTGAATTCCCTGCAGATTTTGGCAAGTCCGAAGTGCTCTGCACGAGCCCTCGGCTTTCCTAGATCCATGCCTTTCTCTCTTTCTTTCTCTTTTTCTCTTTCTCTACCTCTCCCTCCTTTTCTCTTTCTCTCCGCCTTGCTGAACATCAAACCCCTCCGGGATAGAGGGGGGCAGCATCCTACTGGGTCGAGGGTGATACTCCGGCAAATATATACGGGGAATAAACCCCCAGCGGCGGCGTGATTCCATCGTGCACCCCCGGCACTCACTCGCCGTAATGGCGATTCGATCGATCCCCTCTTGCTCACCCCCTCATGCTTGCTCGCTCAGTCTCGTCTACTCCTCTCGCGTCTCTCTTCCATTCCTCCCTGTCTCCCTTACGAAGAACCCGGGTGCACGAGTATGTTATAGGTGGATACTGTTATATACTACAGGCTAAAATACCTATCGACGATCCATCGGCTGTGAAACGATGGAAGAGGCGCAGTGGTTCGCGATAGCGGCGATGGTAGTGGTTAGTAACAATGTTTTGCCTCGAGCGGAACACATCCTGACGAGATACCTGCTGCTGTTGCCCGCCGGTGGGATAAATGAAAATTTCGTAATATCGACTATCGAGTGACGACGATTAAAAGATCAATATTGATAATCAATAAATTTTCGAAATAATATTCTCAGCTGTTTATGAGTATTCTACAAATTTTGTGAGAATAGATTTAAATTTACAACTGTATCCGAGTAATGTAAACAAATATTCTTGATGAACCGCAACATCGATCAAATATTATACATTCCTGTATTCGATTTATGACAACTTCCTCCAACATTGTATACGGAAATAATCATCAATCGCGGATTCTTTATTTTCGTTGTGGCGCTGTTAAAAATAAACTCGTTGTCAGAGAGAGGTATCCATTTCCACTTTATGTAATCGAATTAGACGAGTGCACGTCGGGCGGCGGTCAGATTAAAGAAATCGTTTGATGCACGCGGAGAGGAAGCCGAAGAGCAAGAAAGAGAAAAGCGGAAATCGAGGTAAATCGAATGAACGGCGAATTATTAGATTCTCGCTTTCACTCAACGAGCACAAGGCTGTGCAATCCACTCCCTGTACCACCCTCCGTTTACCACTGCGATCCGCATCCGAGATTGCCGAGATGACCGCGTCGATGGGGATGGAAATGGCAATCCGCAGGAGGCTGACTCGAAGAAGGTGGAGGACGTTTCACCCTCTATTAAACTCCCTCGTACAAGGGAAAGGCGGCCGCCGGGATACGTCGCCAGTAAAACGAGCCTCTCCTCGACTTCTACGTTTCTTTTTTTTTCTTTCTTTCTTCGTTCTCCTTCGGCCGTGTTCCTCCTTTCGCCTGCTGCTACCGCAAGAAAGCGGCCATGTCCTCGAAAGAGTCCTATCGATTTTGATAGGCTTCCGCGTCCGCCGTTGATGCAGTTGCGACCATATGGCAGCATATGGCAGCATTCGCGAAAGGACGAAACAATGAACCATATTATGACGGAAAATTGTTAATTCCATTGCGGATATGTCCTTTCTTCGGGAAATCCGAAAGGTTCTCTAATATTTTCTGGATTATCAGCATTACAAAGCATCATATAACACAGGTTTTGCATAGAATTGCTTTAACAAGAATTCATAATAAGAATCTATAATAAGAACTTACTATAGGAATTCTAGTTTTGCACGTCCAATCTGACGCGATCAGACAATGTTAAAAATCAGAAAGTTAACAAATTCGCGGAAGAAGGTAACTGTCCGTATTTTGAATCGCAGACTCGTCAGGAATCGACAGCGAACGACGATACAAGCTTGCAGATATAATCAAAGTTCGCCCCCTTCGTTAATATGCGCAATTTCGACTGCCTCCCACACTCCAGGCCGCGCCGGTGTGCTACGCCACGCAATTATCTACATACACAACGAGTCCGCATCAGCATTTACATACTAAGTGTACCGTTGCGTGCCGGGAGAGAATCGCTCGGATGTGATCACGTCTTGTATATGCGACGATGTAGATGCGACGACGAATGGAAGCAAGGTAAAAACTTGGCGAATGTGCGACGACCAGTCCAATCTCCTTTCTTCCTTGTAGCACGTCTCAACGCGATTGGTCCGCGAAAAATCCTACCGTTATTCGCACTCGAGTTATGAAGCTATCGGTATTCCGAAAATGTCAAGTTTTAAATTTTACCGTGAATTAAAATCGCGCAAGCGAATGTCCAATACAGAAAAGAAAGAAGACGTTACATTTCTCTTCACGAGTATCGTGATCGGATTTCGTGATATGTCTTGAAATCGGAACAACAAGCTAGTATGCATAATAAGCGTATTTGAGTTTTCATAAATATGAGTTTATATATGCTAAAGGAATGTAAACGCCGAATGTATAAAGATCTAAGTGTTATGCTTATAGTGTGACAGCTCACGGACTAGTAGATTGCGAGTGAATGGCGCTATCTGCTATCATAAACTTCTCCGACACGTTCTTATCGACTCTTTGTCGATGCTAAAGCAAAATCGTGCGACGAGCGTCCTTGAAGAGCAAACGTATATAGATTTTTAATATGTAATTTGCCAATAAACGTGCAAATATCAAATGTATCTCGTGTGAATTTCAACGTTAATTCAAGCTGGCATTTAGAGTGACTTATTTAAAAATTATATCTTCAGCGATTTAAAAATCTTTAATCTGACACTAACAGTAAACAAATAGGAACGAATATCTTTTTTATTGTCAGTTAATCGCCCGTCAAAAGGCCGATAATCAAATGTCGACGTTATCCGATATCGGATTCGGCAAATGGATTTCGTGCAATAACAAAATGAACTCGGAGTTATAGCATTGCCGCGCGTATTTCTGCACAGATTGGAGTGTAACGTCAATTTAGAAGCGCGGTATCGTTCCGGGGAATGAAAGGACGAAGAGAAACGTATCGTATACGTGAAACGAAATTGTCGGCAGGCTCAGAGGAAGGTTGAAACGATAGGGATCGAAACGATAGAAATTCCTCCACTAAGGGAGATAATAACAATTCGAAAGGGTGTATAGAGAAGCGCGTAATGCTAGACACTGGCAGCACTCGAGCGACTCATTAGAGGCTTTGCATATGGTGGCGTCAACCTCGAAAGGTTAACCAATATTGGCAGAACGCGCGTAATTACGTCCTCCAGCCTGGTATAGCTGCGTATATATAGAGGTACCTTCAATAGTTACGCCCGGGTTTGGATGTGCAAACGTTTCCTACCGACTAACCAGCCAACCTACTGCATATCTCTCTCTCTCTCTCTCTCTCCCCTCTCCCTCCCCCCCTCTCTCTCTCTCACACACACACACACACACATACATACATACACATACAAACACCTTCTCTTCTGTGCAATTGTGTATAGCTTACGGCTGCGTTTGCTCCGTACTGCCATCGACAAGATCCGCCCCTTATACTCGCGCAATCGCTACGTCGTACAATACAATGATATGCTGTCTATTTCTAATCACCAATTTTGCAACCTTTTTCTTATTCATTATTCCAAGACAATCATGGATAGTAGCAATTACGATAATCAATGAAATTATTGAACTATACGTCTGAGCCTCGATATTTTATTTTTAAGATGGCGCGAAGAGAATCTGGGCGTTTTTTTTACTTTGTCGATCAGTAAAATGTGCACGTTCTCATACGTGCTTTATACGTCGATATATCAGGTGATTTTTTTTTTAGTATTAGATGTAGCTTCAGGAATTTCCAGACGATAGAAAAGACACGAATAAGTAACCGGTTACGGGAAATCAAAGATAATCATCAAAGAGAAAAAGGCCGCACGTTTCTATAATGCCGGTACAGTCAATGTCTATAAGCGATCACTGATAATAAAAAGCGGTATCTCCCGATCGGGTTAAAATTAAGATAGCATCACTGCAGCATTTGCTGACATAGTGTCCTTTTAATGGATAAAAAGAGCTGCCGCGCAATTATAGCATCGTTAAATATGTACAAGATTTATATTATATCAGTCTAAATATATATAATTATCATATATTATGTATAATTATCGATCTAAATATATGAGAAAGAAAAAAATTTAATTTCATATATATATATTTCTTATATCATATTGCATTAACATTTTGTTATCGAAAGCTACACGACAGCTATTTCGATATTTACATTTCCATTCAATAACAATTTAAAATGTTGTCTTAATACACAAAGAGCAAACAGACATATTCATCTATATCGTCCAATAACGAATAACAAGGCAGTAAGATTCGCGGGAGTGTGCAACGGCGCGAACAAAGAAAAACAGAGAAATCAATCAATTTACGTAAAGACAACAGGAAAAAAGAGACACTTCTGCCTGTTCAAAGTGTCCTCAAAGGAACCCTTTCGTGTCGGTAACGACATATTTCTCATTTCCTGTAATCAGAGCGTTCGCGTCAGAGCGTCCCAATCGAGTCGCTTCAATTTACACCCTCGCGCGGAGCACTCCCTCCTTGTGTCGTTATACAACGTAGTCTGCAACTTTCAACGCTGCCAGTAAAACAATAGCGGTCTGACGGCATCGAAAGTGACGGGGCTCGTAGTAACCCGTTAAGGGAAGAGAGCGACCGGGGCGGAGATGAGGGAGAAACGAGCGAGAGAGCGGCCGTCGTATTATTAAGCAAGTAAATTAATAGAGGCTTGTCCAGGAGAGGTGGTGAGAGAGCGAGGCAGTAAGGGCACTGAATTCCACGATAAACAATGCCTACCGTCGGAGTTTCTCTGGTAGGCGCCGCTGCCACCACCGCCACCGCCACCTCCACCGTTGCTCCCGTTGCCGCCGCCGAGCACATGCAGACTATACAACCACCCGAAAGGGTGGCTCTGGAAGAGGGAGGGAGAAGCCTCCCGTTGCGTGAGTCACAGCGCGCTTGCCTATTCCTGAACGTCGAGCATGAACGTATGTGTACGTGTGTGTATTCACCAGGCGGCCACGAGGGTTGCTAAGCGAAGCAAGTAAAGCACCTGTGGGAGCCGACTCGTCCGGAGGATACGGAGGTGGCCGAGGAAGTAGTCGAAAGGGAGTAGACGTACGCGAGGAAGTGCGAGAGGAACGGGTGAGAAGAAGAGAGGGAAAGATAGAGAGGGATTTAGAGCCGCGAAAAGGGAAAGATAGAGATGAGAGTAGAGCGAGAGAGTACACGGAGACGAGAGTAGAGTGGTGAGTAGAGCAGAGAGAGGCCTGGCGAACGGGCGAGCCAACCCCGGGGAGGAAGCCAATCAATAAACTCACTCACTCACTTGCTCTCCTACGAAGAGAGACCTACTGCTCTCCCTATGCTCGCGATGTGGCGATATGTGTATGTGTGTACGCCAGTATACGTATGTACACACGTCCAACCTAGAAGCCTCCATTATATACGCCCACTCGGCTGCCTACAGCCATTTTGTAGCCGTCCGTCGTGTTTGGCCTAACTCGAGCGCCGATACCTTCAACCCCCTTCGAGTTCGACAGAATTCGGAAATCGCGGCAACTACTTCGGCCGAATGTCAAGTCGATCGATGACGATTACATCGGACGCTATCATATTAATGTTGTTACACGCGATCAACTTGTGCAAACGAGCTATATCTGTTTATCTTCGAAACGAGATTAAAGCTGGACGTTTAAATTGGATACATATATCTAACGTATCATATTATAACATAAAAATTACTCTACGCCGGCAGTGGTAGTTCTATCGACGACGAATAGCGCTACGGTTCTTCATATCTCGCCGATACGACCAGCGCGATTTTAACGGTCCATACGCCACAAACGGTGTGCTTCTCCAGGTGCGCGACTAAGGGGGAGATATTACGAATTCGCAATAACGATAACCGTCGTCGCGCGGAAACGTTTCCAGCGGGGAATATACGTGGCAAGTACGACGGGATCGTGACTCTTGTTTTAATGGCGGCTCGCGGAGGTAACGGGACAGGGGTAAGAGGAGAGGTGGCTCGGCTCTCTCTCTCTTTCTCTCTCTCTCTCTCTCTCTCTCTCTCTCTCTCTCTCTCTCTCTCTCGAGGTAGTTTAATCTAATGGAGTCGAGAGACCATGAAACCTGGCGATAAACTTACCCGTAGGCGGCCAGGGTTGGATCGTAAGGGTAGTAACCCGTGGCGGCAGGTTGAAGGGCGGCCGTGCCCCAAGCAGCACCCATGTCCGCCGTCATGCCCATCCCCGTCGCGTCCTTCAGCCCGTACGGATTACCCTGCAAGAGCAGAGTGCATGATAAGCGCTAATTTATTTAGTATGTCGCTGCATCGCGCATATAAATTCTCCTACAATGTAAACATGCTATCGACATGCTATCCTTTTTATCGCGACGTTAAAATTAAAAAAGAAACAACGCGGCATTGATCGATATCGATCCTTGCGTGACACGAGCAATTCAGGAAACTAATACAGATCCATTATGGTTAATGCTACAGATTATGTTCTGCATGCTGAGAGAGATTATCGCAAGCCTGTATATAGAAACCCTTTAAAGGTTCAATCCATCTCAATTTTCACTGATAGACTGGAAAGACACAAGGAGTCGTCACGATCGTATAAATATAATATTGGATCTGAATACACAGTGTGTGGTTTGTAGTCTTAAAAAACTTATATGAGCGGGATAAATGTTTCTGAAAGAAATCTTTCAATCATCTTTTACTTTCGTCTTAATCACCCCGTGAGAGATTAAGAGGTAAATGAAAGAAGGCCGCGGGTTTAACCAGGCATCTCTAAGACATTATCGCAGACAGACGTCAGTTAGTCGGTGTATAATGTCGTCACAAGACGCGTTGTAAAGGCACACTGTAAAACACGAGCAAAGAGAAAAAAAAAAAGAGTGGAAAAGAGAGCAAGAAAGAGGAACGCAGGTGTGAGAAAAGAGAAGGAACGTGGAGGCACGTTACGCGGCTAATGGTAGCACAATGGGGGATATTATTAGTGCAGCGGCTTAGGAGTGGTCTCTTTGGCGCCACGGAGTTTCATATTACATCTAGTCGTCGACGTCGTCGTCGTCGTCGTGTCTTCATCGTCGTCGGCGTTCACCTTCTTAATTCCCTGCTCGCCTTTACCCTTCGTTTCGATTTTCGAAGACTCTAACGGGTGTCCTTGGTTCTCCCTCCCACCTTTCTTTCACCTTGCTCTCGGCCCTTAGTCCCATCTCGCAGTGGGTCTCCACCATTATATATATATATATGTAAATGTGTGTGTGTGTGTGTGTGTGTGTGTGTGTGTGTGTGTGTGTATATCTTCGTCTTTATTTCTCTTCTTTTCAGAAGCTTTAATGGCGAACTGCGGGTGGTCCGACGTCGACGCTTCAGACTATTGTTACGACTGAGCACAGTCACACAGGGTCACCGGTCACTGGTTTAACCGATTATACGAGCACGCCTGTATTAAGGTAGCAATAATCGTAGTGTTGCACCCCAAATCTTGCGACGTATGCGACGTATGCGACGCATTAGGGGGCGCGACAGCAAGGTGGCTCTAATTTGATACCCTGTGTCGCTGTGGGTTCGACACAGTCCATCAAGTTAATGCAATAGCGCCTATAATTGTCTCCTCTACAGGGTGCTCTAAAAACGTAGATCCGTATCATTCTTGACAAAATATTTTTTTTATCTCTATCTATGTGCTATTCGATATACGATATAAATTAAAAATATATATAATTTAAAGTTATGCGTCGATTTCATAACGATTACCTTTTAAAAACAATTGGTACAATTTTTAGATATAATTTAGAATGGCATCGCTTAAAATTTAAAGTAATATTTATTCATATATTTACGATGTAAATAACGCTTTCTACGGTGCTTACTTTTTTAAAAATAAAGGTTATTTTGCACATTGTGAGACTTATAGGAATCTTATAGGGTATTTTTTCGACAATTCATCGTATTACTTACTCCATTCAATGCTAATCTGATTCTTATTATATTGTAATGCCCGTCGAATCGGTCCATCGATTTGAATCGTCAGGAGCACATGCTTCCTGCTTAACTATATCCTATGAAAAAGATCAAAGGAAGAGAGAGGAAGAAATCCCATTGAAAAAAAAAGAAAAACAAAAACTATAGTGAACTTGATAAAAAATAAAAATATAAAAGATACATAAAAATTATATAAAATAAATTATAACATATTTATACCTCATATAGCTATTTATATGATGTAAAAAATATTTTATTTCACTTTTAATTAAAATGTCATTAAAATTTATACTTGTACTATTAAAATAAATATAATTTAGAGATATACAGAATCTTTTTTCTCAAATATCTTTATAATTTTTTCACTACATATAATAATATTAAAATTACAAGCGGCGTTTCGAAAAAAACATCAATCTTGAAAATTGTTCATTTTTATTTCATTGCTACTTAATCTACAACAACATATATTATGTGTATGTGTTTTTTCCAATTGCGAGAATAAGAGCAGAGTTTGAATTATGTGACATATGTAATAATATGTATACAAGGAAGTGTAACGAAATAATTGAGAGAACATTGTTATGCAAAAAATTAAGCATATTACTGTTCCTTGTATCTTTGCGTGTATAAATTCTTCAAGAAATTATGACCATTAAAGAAATATTTTTTTCTCTAGTTTCTGAATGTTTTATCACTTGAATGTCATAATCTCACTTGAAGTTTCTCTTTAAAAAAAAAAAAGAAAAACACCGCAATATGAACGGAAAGGATTCCATCGTCAAAATACTCAAAATTCCCGGCAGTCAGACGTTTATGGCATTCCGAGCTACACCCTGTCGTATCATTCGTCATCCAACTGCTGGCAGTGATGGTCGCGTGCGCCAAATTACGCCACGGCGTTGAAATTCCACGAACGATTGACCGGCCGGACTGCAATTTATGCCGATAAAGATGCAAAACTATGACGTCCGCGCGTCCCGCCGTCTCGTGCGACAAATAGCATTCTTGGGGCTTCGCCAGGACTAAACCAATACGCACGAGGGAGCATCCCTTCGTCCTTCAGCTCATCAGTCTCAATTACAGCGGAACTCACCCGCGCGATCGACTGTTCGCGTATAGAATGATAGAGTAAAAACACCGACAACTATGATTCTTATCTATATACGCGTATACACAACTACTTTCAAATACTTCTTCAACATTGTACGAACATGGTAAAAAATTTTTTTATAGAAAATTTTTCACAAAGTAATTGATGAATGAATTCTGATATTGAGAATTACGAGATGCTGAAGAAATAATCATCAGTCGAAATTGTACTCGTATGAACTAATAAATTCGTAAAAATTAGAGGCAAGGATTCTGCAATAATTTTACGCAATTATCAATATATTACTCGCGGATGTACACGCGTGCAACTAAACGCACGCTGCACACGGCAATATTGCACGCCAGCCGCGTTTAAGTGCCAATTATAAAAGCGTAACAATCTACGATTAAGAAAGCTACGCGTGTTACGCTTTTCAATGGGCCGTAAAATAACGCACGATATCACGGATCGAAACATTACGACTTTCGTATTGCGGCAGACACGTGTGCTTCTCCACAACCGCGGAATATTGATAGATACTGATGCCGTTGGATGAATATCTAAGTTTCATATGCATGGGGAGCAGCATATCCTCAGCATCCTATTAATAAACTCATAATTAATATTACAAAATAGCAAGCATTTTCGTTATCAAATAACTTGATATTCCGAGATAACGAGTTCCAAAAGAGAAAAATATTCAATTTGCTGTTCTTATTTTCATGTTACTGGTTTTATGCGTATTATCCATATGATAAATGTCTGTCCTCAGAGCGTTCTATGGAGGGAATACAGTCTGCCAATTCTTTTTTTTTTCTGAGTCTTTTAAATTTCCGAGTCTTGAGATCGCAGTACGAGATCTAATTAGTATTTACCAATTATTCATAGCCTTGGCTGTTATTATGAAGATATTTACATTGAATTTACATGAAAAAAATGTTCTGGCTTTACTAACAAAAAGTACAAACAAAATGAATTCTAATCATATGTATCAGAATTCTGATTATTATAATTGAATTTTTTATTATCTCGACTGCAAGGTTGATATATTTAACTATAAGTGTCTGATTTGTACCCTTCTGATTGAATCTACCTGAATTCCAATTAATGCAACGAGACTTTCTTTCAGTGTATAAAATATCTATCTTAGATAAGATATCTATCGCAGAATCTCTCACGCGATATAACGATACATTACGAATTTTTACCCTATTAAGACAACGTCTAAAGTACAATCCTACTATACGTATCGCAAGCAATGCGAATAAAACGCAAAACATCAAGGGAATTAAAGTTTAAAGCACAAAGCGCTGTGCGCGGCGAAATTCTCAAGGAAAACGTCGTCAGAGCGAATCTCGGAATCCGTTACGCCGACATATAGTCACTACGCGAGATAAGACGAATCCGTCGGCTGATGAGAAGAGGTTTCCGTCTACTACCATTGCTCCCCTATCTCGCGCAGTTACGTCCTCCTTTCGTCCTTTCTCGCGTTCGCGCACTCCCGCCGCCGCGGTATCCCCCATGGCTCCCATCCCTGTTTCATGGCATCCCGCGTATTGATTCTATAAACTCGTTCGCGAGAGCGATGAGAGCTCTCTCCTCTCCCTACTTCCCGTCCTTTCGGTGTCCGCCTCTTCCCTTCCTTCATCGTCGATTCGTTTGACAGAGACAATCTCGCTTAGCGCATCCGCGATAAGCGGAATTCGCAAATATCATATGGAATATATTTTTCTGCAGGAATTTTACATATGAATGCAAAAACAAGGAAAAATGTCGAGATGGCCTTCTATCTCAGAAAAAAGGCATTCCAAAGGCATTTTCATGTTTGATATATCAATATCGATATTTCAAAAGAGATGTGTAATTAAATACATGCTTAAGCATGCTTGACGGATTCCAAACACGCGCTAGCTCGACAGTAGATCTATTATTAGATCTGGCTATTTGTCGAGAGATTAGCAAAAAGTTAGAGAATGTAATACGATTGTAATAAGACCGATTCGTAGTGACGTAATAACATCTTTAATAATATAGCTACATCAGAAAATATTAATTAATTGCAATTAAAATAGTAAACGTATGCATCTACTAAACGTAGTGACGTAATAATGTCTATAATAATATACATAGTTACATCAGAAAGTATGAGTTAATTGTAGTTAAAATAGTAAACGCGTATATTTACTATTTTAATTGCAATTAACTCATATTTTCTGACTATATATTATTTTATTACGTCACTACGAGTTGGTGTTATTAGAATAGACAGTATCTTAGTTTTTGCGCTGATTTCGCGACTGATATTCAGACCTAATGATAGATTTGCGGAGTATCGAGCTTGCGCGAATATGCAATCTGCCAGACAGACGTGTTTAATTAAGTATATTATCTCGTAATATTATCGCGTGAAACTGACTGTAAAATGACACGGAAAAATTTTGTTGAGTAAATTCCGAATATTTATACAATATTTTAAAATTTAAATCTTAGATTATAGGTACTACTCTGTGATATCGGCGCAGTTTAAATGAATTTGTATACCAAAAAATAAGTATACCAAATCGATACTCGATACGATACAAGAATACAAAATCGCAGGACATATCGCGTATTTGACGCGCGCTCTGCTGTTTAGATAAGGGCTTGTGTCGTATCAGTGTTTATCTGTCCAGAACATGCACTGATTACGCGGCAACATCAAAAAGCCGATGGCTTTTTCAGTCGTACAAACATAACAATTCGTGAAAATGAAAATATACTGTAGAGATAGCTATACACGTATTATCTGATTATAGGAGGTAATGACACATTTACGGCACACGTCAATGGCACGCCGTCTCGTGCCATTATAGAAATTGCCATTACAGATTGATTATGCCGTACATAATATCGTTATTAAAAGTTGATTTTAACGATAATCGCGTTTTTCACGTGGAAACAGTATTCCCTTGACAGGTACCTTTTTTTGCCTTTTTACTAAATTATGACGATTCCGTCTACTTACTTCGTAAACGCGTGACACGTTAGTCCAACCGAGCTATACCGATGAGAGATCGTTGCTTACATGCGATTTAGAAAATTACGTCTGCAAATTTACGTCGCTAATTGCGTGTGAAAAATGAGAAGTGTCTCCCGGATGGTAAATGCATTCGCTGAATTTCACTCGAGATAAACTCCTGTCTACAAATTACATGCAATGAATCGTAGCGAATATATAAATCCCCGCGCCATCGAATCGCAGCGTAAAACGGAGCAATTTCCGACTACATTATGAGCCATCGTAACGATTCCTTTTTCCTAGATTTTCTTCTCCATAGCAACTTTATTTTTGTCTCGGGCCATTGGCCGCGCGTGGAATACATTAATCGACAACGCTACCTAAAAGCAGCCAATTAGTATAATCGTCCGATAAATTCAAATTTAATTGGCTACTACGCTTTCTTTCACTCCGAGAGGTGCTTATCAGTGTGAATGTAATGCATCCATGCGATCTTCTAAATCGCAAAATACAAGAGAAAAATCAGATTGTATTATTGGTATCGTTTATCTTGCATGCGTCTTTATATATGCAGAATACGATTTTTATTTGAAAGTAGAGAAGCAACTAATTTTACAGACATAATTCCAATTCAGGAAATTTCCAATATTATATTATAATAAAATTACAGATAAAATTCTGTAGCGAATTTTAGATTGTCTGAAACTGATTTGACGCGTTTCTCTAGATTTCTAGCTTCTCTGGGACTGAAGTACAGTCGAGGAGGATTCCCCGGTGACATATGCGAGCGAATTCGTCACTGGCAGCCCCTTAAGAACGTAACGAGCAACCTCGCCTTCCGCGAATCGAAACTTAAACGAGATTATCGGCCGCTTCTCGAGAAAGGGACGAGTGAATAATTCGACGCAGCCGGTACTGATCCAGTCTGCGAAGATGCACGAATTCCAGGGCAATCGAAGGGGCTGCACGATCCCGACGTCCGAGAGAGGGTTCCGTCGTCGGGAATTCCAAGCTAATTCGCGGCAACACCACGTGATAATCCGTCTTAAGTTAATACTGAAGAAGCAATAATCGCCCGGCACGTCTAGAACGACGAATCGATCAATCTGCATCCGGCAATGACCGCGTTACACGTTGCGAAGCATGAGACGATCTTTCGTAGGTAACAAGAAAGTTACGATATAATTTTAATGTTATAGTAAATTTAAGACTACGGGAAAAGTCGAGGGATTTTGATTCTTGAAAAACAGAACTAATTTTGAGATGGAATAAAAACATAATAATTAATTTCCTAAACTATCAGTAATAACTATAAATTTTGTTTTCTAATATTAATAGTTTTTGCTTGAAATCATTAAAAAAATAATTATTAACGGTCAAAGATTTATATTAATTCAATTATATCATTCCCTTATTTCAAAAGTAATTCAACTAAAAAAATGTGATTTTCGAGTCACGAAAGTTAAGTAAACATCATGAAAGTTAAGTAAGTATCCATTAATCATCAAAAGTGAATCAAAACTTTTGATTTTTTACTTGATAAAAAATCGTATAAAAATTGTCACAATTCAAGAAGGGCTTTTTTTTAAAATTGTAAAATGGAAATGACAAAAATGACAAAAATTTGATCACGTTAAGAATCTTTTTGTCTCATATTATTTGATTAGTCAATAATTTTCAAGTTCAAAAATAATTATTCTTCTTTTCAGGGAAATTTAATTTTTTGAGTTGTGTCAAACACTTATTTTTGAAGTAAGAGCGATATCATGTTTATGTGTATCTATAATCGTTTTGTATCCTGAATATTAACATTGATTAACGACCATTTTGATATTTAAAAACTGGTACCCGCTAAAAGATAAAATCGTTTAACACAATATTTTTAACACTGATACACTATCATGTCAAAAATACAAGAAAACTTACCAAAGGCGAATAGAACGCAGAGCTATCCATACCGATGCTAGGATAAGGGCCTTGATCGGTGGTGGAGGGCGTCGGCGTGGGGTAGGAGGAGTAGGAAGTCGCGGTGGGTAGTCGAGGATAAGTGCTCAACGCAAATCTCGCGGCGTTGTCGTATTGGCAGCTGCACACCGTTTGCCCCGTCACAGGGTCCGTCATCATGGGCCTACCGTTCTCACAGCAACCAGGTCCGGTGGCGGCACCACCCACGGGGGTGGTAGCACCGCCGGTACCTGCGGGCCCGACCCCCGTCGTCGTTGTCGCCGTCGACGAAGGCGATAGAGCACCCGGGCTCAATGCACCCGCCGACATCGCCGGCGACGTCGCCGTTGTCGGTTGCCCGCCACTCACCAGGAGCTGAAAAACAAAAGGAAAAATACGTCATTAACATAGTATAATTGCGCGCATGCATGATTCGGAGAAGTTCCATACATTTCCTTGTAAAATTAGGAATTAGTTTTTCTAACTATTGTTTCAAGCTGACTTTGATATTCGTGCGTGATAATAGAAACCTCGTCTTCTACAGAGATTCATTTTGCATTCTCTTCATTTTTTAACGTAGATACATATAAATAACGCGTAAAATAGCTGTTCGTAAGCATATATGCATAGACGTGTCATGATAAGGACATACATATGTACTACATATGTATATATAGCTAAAAAAAACACAAAAGATATATTTTTTTCTAGTATCTCAGTGCTTTTTTTAGCTAACATTTACATCGTCTCAGCGACCTCAAAAAATCTAATATTCACAAACATCGATAATAGTGTCCTTCTTTTTGCCAAGGTAGAGATGGCGAGAAAAAGATTCTACCTGAGATTTTACGGTTTTTTTTTCTTTGTATGAAAATTCTATCGATGAGCCTTCGATAATCATCGTCTTTATCTTTACGCGCAAGAATATTTTATATAAAAAAAAGTATAAGATATATATTTCATGATGTATTAATTTTATCGAAACAATCTCAGCGCCTAACGGAGAGCGATTATTCCTCCCACGATTAATAGCTTTGTTAAGCTCGTATAAACAGAAAGAGACGTCACTCTCATGTGCGTGCTCGCGCGCAGGGGATCGCTGCCTCACGCTAAATTAGCCCATTGTAAATGAGAACGGAATGAATCCCGGTAATTAATATGGCAAGGGCGCGGAGTTATTTCGAGAGGACGGGAGGCTCGAGAGCCGCCGCGACGAGTCGGGTTGTATATCTGCGTTGATAAAGCCTTCTCTCCGACAGCTCTCTCGCATTCCGTTACATACGGAAGAAAGAAGGAGGGAGGGAGGGAGAGAAAGAGAGAGAGAGAAAGCTCGGAAAACGACTCTCTCTCCCTCGTATGTATACCTTTCTATTCGTAGACCGTGTCGAAATCACCCACGAAAACGCCCACGGATTGTTACGGCGTGCGCGTGACGAATAGAATCGACGAGAACTTTATTCCCGCAAACGATTCTCCTTCGCATTTTAGCGTTTCACCTCTCTCGTGAATTATTAAAAGCCCGACGCGGCGCCGCTTATCAATTTCAAAGTCAGCGCGTTTACAAAAATATAGCGACTCGCGGCGAAGTTTTTATATATACCGATGGGAGCCTCTATCGTTTCTCGCACGATAAAATACATAACTGCGTCCCGCGCGGTCGTTAAGCAATACCGCGGGGACGCGATTCACTTCAATCTCCTGTTTGTTCGAAAGTTCGACTAAAAATAAATAAAGATGATGAAGATTATTGTGAGTATAATTATGTGGAGTCACTCAGGAATAGAATCAAAATGATACTAATCTAACAAACAAGCTGTCGTTATTCATTGTCATTTTGATGTCAAAATGACGTCTTTAATGTCAAAATAACGACAAATAACGTCAGTTTGTTTGCTGGAATACGACATCACTATGACTTCATTTGTCACTTATAAGTAAACAAATTTAAATCTCGTAGGACCGACATGCAGAACTCACTAATAATACACTGTTAAATTTATGTCAAATTTAACTTAACCTGAGTCGCTACTGCTCCTCAATCATATCGTTATTTTATACAATTATAAAACAATGGTTATATTTGACATTATGTCAAATTGACACAGTGTCAATTTGACATGATATAAAGTCAAATTTAACTATCGTTTTAGTAAAAAATAATGATATATTTAGTAGGAGTGGCGACTCACGTTAGGTTAAATTTGACACTGTAGTTAGGTTTGACAACTTATAGATTTAACAGTGTATATTAAAGGTCTAATGCCGGTCAAAGCTAGATCTTTAATTGTTTCTTTAAATAATTCAAATTGTGAATTATATATATATATATATATCATATATGTACTTGCATATATACCATATTTGTAGTATTCACTACGCGCCGAAATTTTTTTCCGGATTTTACAAACGCAGCTAAACTACTGAAATAATATCACAAATTAAATTTTGATGCTCAATAAACATCTATTGTAGAGATCTTAACCTAATAGAATCTGTAAATGAATTTTTAATTATTATTTTTTTATTTACGTTGCCTATAATAGACGTTTCGTACAAATTTTGACTACAAATATGGTATATATGCAAGTATAATACATATATAGTACATATATAATTCACAATTTGAATTATTTAAACTTATAAGTGACAAATAGAGAGAGGAGCATTTTCCAGTGAGAATACAGCGTAACACAGTGAATTATTACATTCTTGTTGTTTGCCAACATTAAACAAGGACACAATGTAATACTGTGAAACGATTTACTGTTACACTGTCCTTGCTGGAAAACGTCCAAAATTGTTTGTTGGGATACGACATCATTATAACTTCATTTGTCACTTATAAGTAAACTTATATAAGTGACAAATATATGAACATTTTTCAGTGAGAATACAATGAATTATTACATTCTTGTTGTTTGCCAACATTAAACAAGGACACAATGGAATACTGTGAAACGATTTAGTGTTACATTGTGTCTTTGCTGGAAAACGCCCAAAATCATGCTGACTTACGACAGGGTATTTTCCAGAAAGAAACACAGATGACACAGTGTCACACAGTGAATCAATATATCTTCGTTGTTTGCCAATGTTAAACATGAAATAATTCACTGTGTTACATTGTGTGTCTTGCTGGAAACAATATTATGACTTTTGTGTTTTACTTGGACATTTTTTTTCTGAGAGACGCATGAAGAATTTAAAAGATGCTCGATACAGCATTCGGCTGTCCTGTTTATGCCTCGAATTACGCGGTTTCAATGATTTGCATAATTATCTGGATCTACAATGAACCATCTGCATAACTATCTTCGTGAGAAAATTCGAAGAGTCGCTTCCGCAACACTGAGCCATTTCCGGCTCACGCTGTTTACAATCTTGTGCTCATCGATTTTCCGTGAGCGTGCGTCAATACGCTCGCGTATTTTCACAAGAAATATCACGGAAATCCACGCCGTTGCAAAAATAGAAGGGCGAAGGGACGGCGCGTCGTATCGCAGGATCCGCACCGAAACTACCGAAAGAACGAGGTAAACCGAACTTTCGTGAACAAAGACCCCGCGCACTTTCGTCATGGTGGTATAACGGTGGTGGTGGTGTAACGGCGGTGTGGCGGCGGACTTCGGGGACATGCTATGCGCGCGCGCACGTGTGTCCTCGTTCACGCATAACAACACGCGACACGTGTGTGCGCGTGTATATGTGCACTCGTAGTCTCTCCCCGACTCCCTCCCGGCCCTCTCTCTCTCTCCCGCTCTTTTTCTCCTTGCTTCTAACGAAACGTTCCGGGCACCTCCAGCGTGTCTGGAGCCATTCACGCCCTGCTGGGTTTCCCACCGGAACCTTTTAAGACCCCACTTTCACCCCCGCAGCAGCCGCCGGCGCGAAAACCCTTCGGATTTCGTGGCGCAGGAAGAGTCGCCGTGATATGGTCCTATCCCGCCTTCGCTTCTTGTGCTCCACCTTGTCACCGATCGTTTCACGACGCGCTCGTTGGCAACCCCTCGAGTAACCAAACGTGTCGGATTTTGTACGAATCCTGATACGAGCGCTATCAGAATTTTCTCTTCAGGTTGTATACTACTAGCGTACTTTTTTTTAAACAATTGCTAATACGTGGAGAGAAATAATTCCAAGTATATATATATATATATATTTTATAAATACATGAGTGCGCATTATACTGGTTATATTTATCCGCAAGATCGATTAGAAAGCAAGAATACTTGGATTCTTTTATTTCTTGATATTTGTGGTTTGTATAATATCGTCCGTGAAAAGACTTAAACAGCAAAAATGCTTAGATCCTTTACTGCTTAATATTTGCGGTTTGTATAATAGTATCGCTGCTCAAGTAAATTTCTTCTCATGAAAAAAGGTACGAGCGAAAGCTTACTAATTTGATGTCCGGAAAATGTCGGCTATTATCGGCATAATTTCTAGAACAGTGCGCATTACACCGTCCCGCTTGGCCGCGATCTAATATTAATTTTACGTGTGGAAAGTTATGTCGCCAAAGTTTTCTGGAATTTATAAATGATGGTTAAATAGCGAGTAATCTAATAAGTAAATAGCGAGAACGTTGATACGTTCAATTTTTCTCGAACTTAAATCGGATTATCCAACACACAGAGAAATTTTGTCGTAGATATATTACATTTGGAAATGAAAATAAAATTAGATAAACCATGCTATCTATAAAAACTATAAATTTTACATTTTTAATACGAAATATAAAACATTTCTTTTTCCAATTTGAACGTCTTTTGATTTAAATCGTGTTTAAATCGGTCATACACAAATGGCTACGCGTACATTGAATTATTATCGCATGATCGATAATTTTCATTATCGCAAAAGAGAAAGAAAATACCTGAAATGAGCGGCATCTTCTAAGAATAATAAGTCAATGTCGCCTATCGCGATGATTAATTGAGAGATAGTCCACCAATAATCTATCTTGCGAAATTGACAAGATTCGTCACTTTGTCAAGATAGAAAGCATTCTCACTTGCGGCTTTCACCATGTATAACTTAAGTAGCGATCTTTGTAACGACAGAGTGACACAATCGGTGAAAAGTGAGTTCAAAAGTTTTTATTTTATTACACTCACGCTGTAAAAAATTTTACAACAAAATGTATTATATGCAAACTGTTTCCTTGTTAATTAATTTGCACGCTTATCGAAACATTACTATAGTTTAGAATTGTATTATTTAATTTTCTTCACATATCTCTGCTCTCGTTTAACCAGTTTACATCTTTAATATATAAAAATCGTAGATATCATTACGAATTCTCACTGTATGCTACTGTGGATGCTTTTTATTTAGTGACAAAAACTTCATTCTATCTTTTTTGGCATTCAGTG